AGAGAGAGAGAGAGAGAGAGAGAGAATACTAGATTCTAGATCTAGATTCTAGATCTAGGATCTAAAGCTATAATAATGCTGCTAGTGCAGGTCAGAGTGAAATATATAATAAGACTATCATAGACTTTATGCAATAAAAAAACAACTGCCAATCCAAACATCACCTACATAATATATTCTTTTAAAAAAGAGGCTGTTTGAGATGCCTAAAAGGAGCACTATATCTAAGATTACTAGAAGTGCACTTCGAAACGAGCATGTCTTGCAGTACTAGATCACTAGATCTAGATCTAGATTATGTCTGCTCATGACAAATCAAATACCCACCCCCAACAATAACAAAGCATGTTCATGCATGTGCCTTTACACATACATGCCCTTTCAGGTTACCAATTTGTATTCTTCCAAATCATGAAAATGACCCAACTATCATTAAATGTATGTAACGATGGATGTATTTGTTGCTGATATCTGATTTGTAAAAAAAAAAGTCAGCTCTGACAACTTAACAAAAGCCAAAATCCATACAGTATTTATGAAACTCTTGTTTATATGCTGATTTGTCACGATAAATCATGACCGTGACTACTCAATAACAATTAAAACCATTTAAACAGTCTTCCAATGCAATGGAAGTCTACTTTTAGACCAACGCACTTTCTTTTTGTTGTGATCCTGCTTCCCCCCCCCCCCCAAAAAAAAAAAGTAATGGAAGAGACATAATCCATAGTGTCCAGTGGATAACTCAAATGTTTTGTGCGGTCGCTCAGTTGAAAAGACATCTGCTATGTTTCAACTGCCCACTGTAGCTGCATGTAGGCTAAATGGAAATTAAAACGACTTAGATGAATACTTTGCGATGCGTAATTTTAATGCTACCAATCACGAATCAATACACTATTCTCTTATTTATATGTTAGCTGGATAGACTATATTTGCTGTTATGATGATAGTGATTGTATTACACAGTTTAAACATCATAGGACTCATAAAACAATAATTGTAATCATAAAGACTTCAAAGTTCAGCTAATGGACAAAATTGAGAAGGAAAAATATTGTTGTTGTTTAAAACACTTGTGACCCAATATACATGTTAACTTTCTCTATGAGAAATTTCCCAAAAGTGAACACAGTTAGGGTATACACTTTTGTCCTCTGCCCTTAACGAACAACACGAATTGTTATAGCCATCGGTACGGATGTGAAGCCAAAATTTTGAATAAAAAAATAAAAATTAGTTTCTTATTATGGGGTATCGTTACATTAGCTAAAAATATTTAATAGTGTTGAAATTCAAATTCTAAATTTTGAAAACAGCAAGAAAAGATTTAGATCTATGTAATTTTAAGAAGGATGAAACTTTTTTTCACTTTCCGGAAACATTTTACTTTGTGGGCTTGGAACGAATTATAAACAACTTCCTGACAAAATGAAGAATTTATGTATGAAATGAGGGGCGTTTTTGATAAAATATGAACAAATACAAACTAATGAATAAGAAATTTTTTAAAAATCAGAAATGTTTTCAATTTTATAAAATAAATGTCAATGTTTTTGAAAAGTTTTGTGAAATAGATGCCTTTTTCAAGGCTTTATCATAAATACCAAACAAAAGAAATGTTCAAAATCGACTCAAATTCAGTTCAGCAAGAAGGTGTCTGCACATACTGAAGATCATTTCAGTTGTAATTTCGATTGCTTCTAGTGCGTTAAGGGGAATGGAATGTTTTAACACAAGCGCATCACCATAATATGTTATTCTGTAATGCTTTTTAGCTTTTGAAAACTTCAAATGTTGATCTTCTTAATGGAAAAAAAAGCAAAACTGTCCGCCGACCTGTCTCCTTGCCCTACAATGAATTTCGGTCTTTACTTTGTGTTCTGACTGTTGGTCAGTGAAATACCGGACATGAGTTCAATTTGCCTCTTACTTTGGGGTTTACTTTTTATACTTTTGATTATTGTTAAGGTCCCCACACTATTTTCTTTTCATGCCTTTCTCTGTCTCTTGTTCTCATGTTTGAATTACACTTCAAGTGTGAATTAGTCTTTCCCTCTTTTTTGTTTTTAACCACAAACATACAAATACACACACACACACACACACACACACACACATA